TATCAGTGATGAGTTTAGCATAATATTACCACAACTAGCACAATTATTTTGATGGGGAAGTAGTAAACGAAAGTAAAGAAGTAGCCTCTGAGCAGAACTATAGCGCTGGATACACTAAGGCGCACATAAGTCCAAGATATGGAAAAACGATCCTCTAAAGCTGTACAAAAAAAAGCATTACTGGATGATTTGCCCCAAAAAGTGCGCAGATTCCTCTATCCAGCTCCTTCAGGCTTTAGCTAAGTCTTCACTAAGGTGCAGCGAAATAAAAACTCAGGGTAGGAGCAAAATTTGGTAATTCGCAAGGCTGCCACGACAGATTCAAAGTATTTGTTCAGAAATTAGAAAGAGCCAAATGCATGGCCAGAAGCGCAATATATCTTCAATCATAAATACAATGAGGTAAGTGCATTCTAATCAGATGATCTGGGCAAAGAAATGAACCCGACTATGATGTTGATGGATATGAAACAACACGTACCCTTTTTGTCCATACCAACAGCGATGCATTTTGCTAAACGGCACGCTCGACATGCGCATCTTGCCGCTGAAAATGAGAAGAATAAGAAATTTGAGCAGAAAAGCCATGAAGGGCCTACTCACTTCTATCAACAAGGCAATGTCCTCCACGACGACAGGTGAAATGTTGGTCATAAGTGATAGCACGTCGGAAAAAAGCATTACATCCCCTACATGATCGTACACCATAGTGAAATCCATCGGCAGAATCTCCACAAACAACACACTGCTCTAAACAGCTGATTTACTCGCTATGTAAAGTAGAATGGAGAGATTTGCAAGCTTTGAGCGCTTTTGAGCGAATCCTGGCCGGGACCGTAGAGTTCATTGAATAAAATGACCACAGTGGGCGTGAAAGTATGACATTAAATTCAAGAAAAGACCGTATTGGATGACTTCTGCGTTTATACTAGAGATGAATGCCTAATTTACAAGTACGTACCTGTAGTTGAGCTTTAAATCTAGCTTCAAGTGACTCAGATAAAAACTAGCGCCTAATTTTGCGCCCCCAAACTAAGATAGTGAAAAAAATGTAAAACAAACTGACATAAAACGCATACAGCTCAGCGCCACCGTTAAGATAACTGCCTTTAGGTAGCACGATAATCGAAAGTATATAACGGAAGAAAAATATCTTA